CCCGGGATGCTGCAGCCGTCGTAAATACGGGTCAGTCGCCAATCATGGGACTGTGGGGGATGCTGCGACAGTTGCAAAGGTGAAAAGCTGCTTCTCGGCCTTTTGCCTAAGATTAAATGTAGTTGTAAGTGTGAAAATCGTTCACAAGTCATTTTTCTTCAGGGCCGCTGTAACTTTAAACAGTCGCTAAATGAATCCGTTGTAAGTCGAGGACTACCTACATTGGGAAAATTCCCGTGATCTTACAAAAAAAATCTATTTGTTTTTAAATTAAACCTTTATTGAAAATTTAAAACATTAAAATACAAAATGCAGTACAAATTTTTAAAATGAAAGTGTTGTATATATTACAATCCATTTTGACAGTGCTTACATTTCAATCGTTATTCCAGTGCGTATTTTATATTCCTAACTGTTCTTATATACCTTTATCTTTCTAAATTATACATTGCTTATTTATTTAATTGCTTGTTTCTATTATTTACCCAATGATACCATTTTTCCCAAACTGTATAATAATCTGAGTCTTCCTTCTCTTTTAATTCTAATTAAACTTTGTCCATTTCCACACAATCGAAAATCTTTTGGATAATTAAACTATGTCAGCATAGATTTTTTTTTTTCATTTGGCATACAGGCCGTTGCTGTTCTACTCTCTTGCAATGCGGATGTTTCCTGATTAACCAGGTCATAAAACTGCATATATTATTCCTGGAATAAAAAAAAAAACCCCATTTCTTTCATGGTATTGTAAGAGATCACAAACTGTTTGCCTTTTCGCTCTTTGTGCTGGGCTGGCTTTCTTGTTTAGGGTGGGTCACTTCCCTATCTTAGCTTCACAGTTGGAAAGTGGAGCTAAGCAAAAATAGGGTCAGGCTAGCAAGGTTTTTGCAAACCTTTGGGGGGAAAAATGCCCCATTCTCCAGTGTACAATTCAAAAAGATGCCAAAAGGAAGCAGACAGTAATTAGATCTGCTAAATGGAGACCAAAGAGGAAACAAACTGTTTTGGAGTAGGCTCCTGATGTTAGTGTTAAATTTATGTTTTTACTACAACGAAATAAAGGGAGTCTAGTGTTGTAATGACGAGGCAGTTGAGTTGTTTGATCATGAACAACTGAATCATGATGATCTTTATTGGAGTCTAGTCTTGCATTTATACACATTTTTAGTTATCCTCCAACATTGGTTAACTTTGGTTACTGCTTAACTTTCGTTACTGTTTAGCATAGTAACTAACACAATTAATTATCTCTAGTTAAAGTCTAACATATGTTTACTTCCTCTCTCTAATCCTCCTTTAGATTAGTGACTTTGTTTGCCTGAGTTGTATTTGCTTGGAAACATTCTTTATCTGAGGTTTGCCATCCGAGATTGGAACAATCCTGCAATTACAACTCAACAGTCTAGCATAGATCTATTTCAAACTATTTATCTGTCATCTAAAGAGTATGGCTAGCTGATGAGAGCTAAATAGCTTGAAATAGATTTAAGCTAGTCTCCCTTTATTTCATTGTCAGTAAAAACATAAATTTAACACAAAAATAGTTCGTCACAAAAGCAACTGCCTGCGAAGGCTCCTGGATCGGGTCTGAAAGGTAAAAATGGAAGCAGAATGCTCTGTCCCATCATTGGGCAGAATAGAATAGAATAACAGAGTTGGAAGGGACCTTGGAGGTCTTCTAGTCCAACCCCCTGCCTAGGCAGGAAACCCTGCACCACTTCAGACAAAATGGTGATCCAACATCTTCTTAAAAACTTCCAGTGTTGGAGCATTTACAGCTTCTGGGGGCAAGCAGTTCCACTGAATAATTGCTCTAACTGTCAGGAAATTCCTCCTTAGTTCTAGGTTGCTTCTTCCCTTGATTAGTTTCCATCCTTTGCTTCTTGTCCTGCCCTCAGGCGCTTTGGAGAATAGCTTGACTCCCTCTTCTTTGGGGCAGCCCCTGAGATATTGGAACTCTGCTATCCTGTCTCCCCTAGTCCTTCTTTTCATTAAACTAGCCATGCCCAGTTCTTGCAACCGTTCTTCATATGTTTTAGCCTCCAGTCCCCTAATCCTCTTCGTTACTCTTCTCTGCACTCTGCACTCAACCTGGGTAGACCAGGTTGCCCTGATAGACCGGTCCCACTGGAGAAAAAAAAAAAAAAACACCCCCGAGTTTAGCTACAGGTTCCTGGCACCCACGGGAGTTGTGTGCTGCAAGTGGGAGCTTCTCATTGCTTGCAGCTGAATGATGTTTGGATTCTGGACATAAGCAACCTGTGGGTTGGTCCTCTTTTGCAGATCCGCTTTATCCTGATTCAGAACCGGGCCGGCAAAACCCGTCTGGCCAAGTGGTACATGCAGTTTGACGATGACGAGAAGCAAAAGCTGATTGAAGAAGTGCACGCAGTGGTCACTGTCCGAGATGCCAAGCACACTAATTTTGTGGAGGTAGCACCTCTCTGGCCTTATTTACTTATGAGTTGTTTTTTTTTAATCCTGCCTTTATTGTTTTTCCAAATAACTCAAGGCAGTGAATATACATAATAATTCTTCCTCCGCCTGTTTTCCCCACAACAACGATCCTGTGAGGTGGGTTGGGCTGAGAGAGAGAGAGAGAGCATAACCAGCCCCAAAATCACCAAGCTGGCTTTCATGCTTAAGATGGAACTAGAACTCACCCAGCCAAAGTCACCTAGCTGACATAGCCGGCTGAGGAATTTGGGATGTTGAAGTCCATAAGTCTTAAAAGTTGCCGGGGTTGGAGACCCCTGCTTCAGAAGACCTCACCCATCCTTCTCAAGCCAGCAGATACTTGTAGATACCATGTCCTTCCCCCTGGCAAAAGACCATCCCCGAATTGTGACGGTGGGGCCGACAATCCAACTCCCCAACACATAGTGACGGAATGTCAAAACAGTGCCTAGAATGGAGGTTTATTTAGCTGGTTTCACGGCTGCGATAAAGGAAGTAAATATATATATATATATTTACAACCTAGGCACACATTTATAATCTTCCTGTTAGGATTTCAATGTCCTATGTGTTGAATTTTCCCCCTGTGCTCCTTTTTCACTGAAATATGAAATATATGCTCAATAAAAGCCGGCAGACAGAAGGATGTAAGGCTGTTGACACCCGTGTTTGCACCTGAGCCATTCGACTAAAGGGCTGGTTGCATAAAGATGGGTTTTTTTGTGCTCAAGAGGGTCATGGCCTGATGGTGGACCCAACAGATAAGGCCAGCCTTTATCCTTGACCAGCATTGTCCAGCTTCTACCGCTGCACCGTAGAGAGTGTCTTAACTTACTGCACCTCTGTATGGTTTGCCAATTGCACCGTGGCAGATAGGATGGCACTCCAGAGGGTGAATGTCATTGCCCCTCAGAGGATCCTGGGTTGCCCTCTCCCCTCTTTGGAAGAGCTTTAGAGCTCCCGCTGCCTTAAGAAAGTTCAAAACATCCTCAAAGATCCATCTCATCCTGGGCTCCGTTTTTTTTGAAGTATTAACATCTGGCAGACGGTACAGGACAATAATAAAAACAAGGACAAACAGGCTGAAAAACAGCTTCTATCCCAGGGCAAGTAACTCTATTGAATTCCACTGAGTAGTGCAATATTAATGCAATATCAGGGGTTTTCCATTCAATTGCATAGAATGTGGTGTGTTTGTGTTTATTTTCATAGTCATAATGTATACAGAAGATGGTGTTTGATTTCGTTGTACGAGGTACAGTGACAATAAAAGTAAAGTAAAGTAAAGTAAACTCCTAACAGGCCCCAATGTTTGTTTTCCCCTCCCCTGATGGTGGTTTGGTTCCCTCTCTCCAGTTCCGAAACTTCAAGATCATCTACCGACGTTACGCGGGGCTCTACTTCTGTATCTGCGTGGACGTGAACGACAACAATTTAGCTTACCTTGAGGCCATTCACAACTTTGTGGAGGTGAGTGTGGGCCTGTCCAGCTGCAAAGCAGGCCTGTTTCCCCCCCCCCTCGCAGCCCCGTGAACATCTGTCCTGGCTTCGAAGCTGTGTCTGAAATTCTACCCTTCCTGGTGTAAGGGGATACAAGAATAACCCAGGCGGTCCTTGACTTACAACAGTTTAGTGACCATTCAGAGTTACAATGACACTGAGGAAAGGTTGTAAAAGGGGACAAAACTCACTTGACAGCTGTCTCGCTTAGCGACAGAAATGTTGGGCTCAATTGTCATAGGGCGAGGACTGCCTGTATCTCTGAAATGACGACCTGACGGGGCACAGGTCATGTAGTCTAGTAATAGTAATAATGTGGCAGCTTCTCGCTCCTCGTTGCTAGAAGAACTGTGGTGGCACAGGGGTTAGAATGCTGTACTTCAGGCTAATTCTGCCAATAGCCAGCAGTTCGATCCTGACCAGCTCCAGGTTGACTCAGCCTTCTGTCCTTCCAAGGTCAGTAAAACGAGGACCCAGATTATTGGGGGGCAAGAGGCTGACTCTGTAAATCAATCCTTCCTTCCTTCCTTCCTTCCTTCCTTCCTTCCTTCCTTCCTT